TATATAAACATTTTCCAATTATTTATATGTATTTTTAGACGCATATAAACAAGTGTTTCTCCATATACTTTCAGATAAAATGGACAGAATTCGAAAACTGAGACACAAAGCACAACGAAAACTGATTATAACTGAGAAATCAATAGTCAACCCAGCCCAAGATACTATTGTGCTTGAATGGATTATTTTGTTCAATGCAAATTGTTTCAATGCGATATTTGGGTAAATGTATTATTTGATTCAATGCAACATTTGGGTAAATGTATTATTTGTTTCAATGCAATATTTGGGTAAATGTATTATTTGATTCAATGCAACATTTGGGTAAATGTATTATTTGTTTCAATGCAATATTTGGGTAAATGTATTATTTGATTATATAAATGCATTATTTGGATAAATGCATTAGTTGTTTCAATGCAATATTTGTATAAATGCATTATTTGATTCAATGCAATATTTGTATAAATGCATTATTTGATTCAATGCAATATTTGTATAAATGCATTATTTGATTCAATGCAATATTTGGATGAATGCATTATTTGATTCAATGCAATATTTGGATAAATGCAATATTTGTATGAATGCATTATTTGTTTCAATGCAATATTTGTATAAATGCATTATTTGTTTCAATGCAATATTTGTATGAATGCATTATTTGATTCAATGCAATATTTGTATAAATGCATTATTTGATTCAATGCAATATTTGTATGAATGCATTTGTTTCAATGCAATATTTGTTTCAATGCAATATTTGTATGAATGCATTATTTGATTCAATGCAATATTTGATTCAATGCAATATTTGTATAAATGCATTAGTTGATTCAATGCAATATTTGGATAAATGCAGCATTTGATTCAATGCAATATTTGGATAAATGCAGCATTTGATTCAATGCAATATTTGGATAAATGCAGCATTTGATTCAATGCAATATTTGGATAAATGCAGCATTTGATTCAATGCAATATTTGGATGAATGCATTATTTGTTTCAATGCAATATTTGTATGAATGCATTATTTGTTTCAATGCAATATTTGTATGAATGCATTATTTGTTTCAATGCAATATTTGTATGAATGCATTATTTGTTTCAATGCAATATTTGTATGAATGCATTATTTGTTTCAATGCAATATTTGTATGAATGCATTATTTGTTTCAATGCAATATTTGTATGAATGCATTATTTGTTTCAATGCAATATTTGTATGAATGCATTATTTGTTTCAATGCAATATTTGTATGAATGCATTATTTGTTTCAATGCAATATTTGTATGAATGCATTGTTTCAATGCAATATTTGGATAAATGCATTAGTTGTTTCAATGCAATATTTGGATAAATGCATTATTTGTTTCAATGCATTATTTGGATAAATGCATTATTTGTTTCAATGCAATATTTGGATAAATGCATTATTTGATTCAATGCAATATTTGGATGAATGCATTATTTGTTTCAATGCATTATTTGGATTAATACAATATTTTGATCAGTGCATTATTTAGGTCAATGCAATATTTGATTGAATGCAATATCTGGATGAATGCATTAGTTGGTTCAATGCTAGTTTTCTGAAATATCTGACATCATAAAGTTGTGCAGATCATACCTGTGCATGTGTGGCGGAGGTCCTCTCATGTGCATGGGCGGAGGTGGGGGAGGCGGCGGACCCGGTGGACCCAGGTTCATTCCCCTTGGACCGCCTCGACCTCGCCGGCCGCGCATGTCTGGATACGGCCACGTGCGACCCATGCCTCTCCTGCAAAAGAGTGAGAAAAAGTCATTAAAATGTGTAAAAGTTTCGATTCAATATTTGGATAAATGCATTATTTGTTTCAATGCAAAATTTGTAGGAATGCTACATTTGCTTCAATTCAATATTAGGATAAATGCATTTAAAATGTATTTATTAAAAAGTTGTTTTCCATAAGCAAGTTTATTAAAATGTTAAGAAAGACTCGAGAACACGTGGGCAAGACCTCATGGGTCCGAATCCGTTTGTGAACCCGTCGCGGCCTCTTCCTCTCATGGGACCTGGTGGAAACCCTTTCATCATCATCATCATCCCACGTCCTCCACGGAACCCACGGGGCATCCGGCCTCCTCTGCCGCGCATCTTCCCTCCACGAGCCCTGAGAATAAACACACGACATTATAGTGACGAGTAGGGGTGTGCGATATTGCCAAATTATGTCTCGATATTTTCTGGTATTTTATCGATAACGATAATTAGGCGATATTGTGCTGAGTGTGTTATTGTGCTGGTATCTTAAGGACTGCCGTGGACAGCTGACTCCTAAAGTGTTTGATATTCTTCATATTCGATTATATTTATAAAGACATTTTTCTAAAAGTGTGCATTAACCTTTGAGTCAAATTCTTACATTTAATCAGTGAATTAGAATAAGACGACATTTGGGCTGTTACCAAGCAAATGATATCAGTATCAACAAAATTAATCTTTGCAGTGCAGAGGAAACACAGAATCTGCAGGCTGCAATATAACAAAGAGTGAAAAATTGAAGGGGGTCTGAATACTTTCCGTACCCACTGTATATCGCACACCTCTCGTGACGAGAGCAACCAATGAGAGTAGCAGCTTTGGTCATGTGACCCACCTGATCTTGCTGTCAGCTGAAGGTGAGGGCGTCTCTGTGGCCTCCATCACCTCCGTCGTCTCCTTCACCTGCTCCGTGTCGCCGTCCATCTGTAAAACAACAATGCTATCCAGTGAAAGAAGCCTGTCGGTAGTGTACACCAGCATTCTCAGTAGTGAACACATCATGCTTCACTCGTCCCGAAACCTTCACCTCTGACCCAGATCCAGACTGGAAATGTTCTGGCGTGTATGTCAAACATCTGACGTGTTAAAGCCACACGCCGGGCTTCACATCAGCACACAGCCTGCTGGGATAGCAGCAGCTGATCCGGGCCGTGGGGATTTCAGAGCACGCCACAAGCCGTGTATTAATAGTGTGAACGGCCAACTGTAAAAGCGAGCTTCTGAAGACACGCTTCTGCAAGAAACGGCACACACTCAGAGGATTTAATGGAGCTTTTGAGAACGGAGAGCTGATGCGTGAAAGAAAACACCTCAAGATGCAAGATTATTGAGAAGGAAATGACTATTTTAGCAGTCCGTGGCTCATTAGAGACCTCATTTCCTAATGAAACAGGAAGTTGCCAACAATATATATATATATATACATATATTTTAAATAGCCAATAGGCTTTCATTTACACTACAGCGGTGAACCCCGCTTTGCTATCTGATGTCAGTAGGGGGCGGTGCTTCTCATTCCAGAGCATTTTATTGGATAACAATTCGCACACACCCGTGAGTGTAAGATGACGTCATCAATGTTTCCGTTCCATTTTCATGGAGGCTCATGTAGCAATACTATAATGCAAATTTTAACATTTACATGTAGATTTGGGATCTAAACGCTTGATACTATAGAATCCTGTTGCTAAATGTATGCTCTCGCCGTTTAGTCGTTATTGCACCTGAATATAACGAGTATTCCTTCTGAAAGTGTGTTAAATCGCACAGAATAACACTTGTTACATTAGTCTGGTGATTTGAAAGGGATTTGCGAGCTATTAACTTCATTTATTTCCCGCATTCGGAGAGTTACCGGAGGCTTAAACCCCGTTCTGTCGCCACGATCACAGCTGAACGAAATAACATAACGATAATCGCTCTAGACGATAAAAACATCATCCGAGAAGACAAATACACCCTTAACTATCAAAGAAACACGCGTTTGCTGCTAAACGCTGAAGTTTTCCCTCAGAATTACCGACGGCGAATGCGGGGTTTAACGGTAAACACACAAGCGCTCCATTACAAGCTCACAGCTTGTTTTCACTCACTTACCTTATGAGATTAAGAGCTCTTCGAAACAACGAGCCTTAAAAATACACAACGTTATTCGGTGTATTCTATAAAACAAGCATCCGTCGGTTACAGCGCGAAAGCTCCCGCGTTTCCTCGGCTTTGAAATGGCGGCCCGCGCCGCTCCGTCACGACGAGCGCTGATTCTTTGTCACAGCGTCATTGTACCGCGAGGCCCCGCCCACGGCGAACGCAGCGCTGCGATTGGCCGGCGTTCCTGTCGCAACACCGACGTCACGACGCCGTTGTACGTAAACCGGTTTAATCCCAAAGCACAAAGTATTTTAGCGTTTTCCTATTTGAGCTCGCTTTATTCACGCAAAAATATAATACATAACAATATAATAATTATAGATTCATCATTTTCTGTATTTAGGCCTATCTTATTATTTTTAATTGTTAGAAGTTTTATAGCATGTGCTTTGCTATGGAAAAAAAGGAGGAAAAGATGTCTTTTGTCTTTGAGTTTAACTTTAGCCTTCGTTTTCAAGCAACAAAATATGATATTACATAATATTAAAATTATATATAATAATAGGCCTATAGGCTATATTATAATATATATCATAAAAAAAGGTTGTGCGTATCCCAGCTAACACAACTTTTACTAACGTTTTAAAAAGTGATATAAACGCCACAACAAAACGTTCTTAAAGTAACGTTTATGGAATGTTCTTGTAACTTTATTAATATTGGATATAGCCTGCCTTCTCTTCTCATAACGCTGAGAGAAAACGTCAACATTCTCGAAATGTCCTGATGATGTTGTTTGTACCTGAACGTTCGAAGATACATTTTTGCAACCTTTAAATAACTTTTTAACCACAACAAGAAAACTGGACATTTTTAACGTTCTTAGAATGCTACAAATAGACATATTTTGGGTGTACATATTAGAAAGTTGTAAGAAATGTTTTTGTAACCTTTAAATAACGCTATTAAGAAAATTGGACATTTAAACGTTTTAGACACGTTAGATCAATGTTCTCACAACGTTTGTATAATCCAACTCTGTTACCTGAATAAAGCGTTTCTGCGCTCCAGAAACAATCTTGACACAAAATACAAAGACCAGATTATATCAACACGAACCAATCGTTTATTCAGCGATTCCAGTTTAAAAGACACTAGTCTTAATATTAGACACCGACACTCCACTCAAGCATCAGCAAGAAATATTTACATCCGAGTAAAATCATGAGTGGATGAACAAACAAACACAGACAAATATGAATCTGTACAACAGCAGCAGCTGGGGAGCGTTCTCAGAGACGCTGGACGCTCATCAAACGCTTCCGAACTCCGGAAGTCACATTCCCGCAATGTTACAAAATGATACAACGTTTCCAAACGTTCCCAGAGCAGCGGCGCTTTCAGAGCTGAATGGGAACGCTGTGCTGCTCGAGGACGCTGGAGAGCTCTTTGATGTACTGGATGGTGTATTTGAGGGTCTGGATCTTGGTGAGCGGCTGCGCTCTGCGGCTGTACACCGGCGGAAGATACTCGCGGAGCTGATGCAGCGCCTCCGCCAGACTGCGCATGCGCAGCTTCTCGCGCTCGCTGGCCTTCATCCTCCTCTTCACGCTCATCTTCACTTTGGGCTTCTGCTGCTCGTCTCTGCGCCCGGACTCCGGCGACGAGGCGTCTCCAAACGCCCTGTCCTCTCCGCTCCAGTCCCACTGGGACAAAACCTGGGAAGTGAACGCGTCGACGTCGATCTGCGCCATATCCGCGAGAAAATGCGCAAAAGCCAATCTTCGCCGCTTTTATAGCTACTTCACGAGCGCGGAGTTCAAAGAGGCGACCGCGCGCTTGCCACCCACGTGCGAACAAGGCGACGCTGGCGGATAACGTGCAAGAGAAAAGAAAATAATTAGATTCCCTTTTGTGGGAAATGACTCTTTAAGTCGACGCGACGACAATTAGCGCACTGACGCGATCAGACGAGCTTCACACGAGGCGTCTCGCAATTAACATCAAACTATGCGCTGCTTGTTTAATAAGGACCGCACTTTTACCTAAAAAACGCATTCAAACCTTTATTCTGTTCAGGAATAATCTGGCCTTGATTCCCAGCTAACAGAACGTTCTCTCACAGCTATCAACAAACGTTCTTCAGCAACATTAATGGAACGTTCATTCAAAGTTATCTGCTCTTTAATAATGTTCTCAAAACGTTAGCACGAAAACATTATTTATACATCGTTTATGGAACTTTTGTTCTAAAACGTGGACATTTTTTTTAATGTTACTATGTTTTTAAATGTTTCAGAACTTCCAGACAACGTTCAAAAGTAACATTCCCATATTTTTTCTAAATGACAAAATGGAATGTTCCCTTAACGCCTGTTTAAGAAAAATGTTTTAAAAATCTTTCTACAAAAAAAGCTTTCTACAAAACCTACTCTCAGAGACATTCCTAAAAGTAATTGACAGATGTTTTCATTTCCATATGGATTATTATGGAAAATAATTATTAGTGTTCTTCATGCAAAAATAAGTGCAAAGAAGAATTTATTATAGAGGTTTAGGATTTTAAATTATGGCAAATTTCAACACTATTTGGAGTCATGAGAGAGACAATAAAAAAAGTCAAGAGTTTAAAGCTATTCATAAACAGATATGATTTCTAAAAGCGTGTTTTTCTTTGCAAATGTCCCTGCAGAGGACAGAAGTGTGAGCGCAGCTGTCTGGGAAGGTGTGACACCTGTCACTCAGGATCAAGGCCTGACAGGAAGTGCAGGTGTTTATGTCCTTATTAGGAGCAGACCGTTACTTTGATCCTGATGTTATTCTGACGGCTTCTTTCAGCGCAAGAGGAAGTTTGATTCTTTAACTGCTTTTTAATAACGCTGTGCTTATTGTGATGATGCATGTCTATTTTCATTGGGATTACAGATAATCTACTAAAATTATACTGTACATTTGTTTTTAATAAATTATTTTCATATATGAAGAAAAGAAAATAATGTACACAGGTAAAATAAATATTTGTAAAGATCGTAAAAACTTAAAATTAAATATATATAAGTGCTTTCAAACAATCGCATTCAAAATACGTTTTTGTTTACATAATATAAGTGTGTGTACTGTATATTTATTATGTATATATAGATACACACACATGCATGTATACAAGAAAAATATATTGTGTTTATATATTAAATCTATTTATATATAATATGAAATACATAAATGTATATACATGTAAATATCATCTTCAAGAAATGGCTAAAAACACATCTCTTCCATCTTTATTTGACCCTCTAACTCTAGGATTCTCTATTCTAATTCTGTTCTACCTATCTGTTTTCTTTTTATCTGTTGTATAATAAAAATAAAAAAACCTTGCTACGTATGCTGCGTTAGACTGAGACTCGTCATAGCACTTGCATATCATTGCTCTCTCTATATATATATTTATAAAGGTATTTGACAAAAACTGCATATAAAAAGACAAATTGTGTATAAATTTATTAGCAAATTTAAATTCCAAACATGACTCTCTCAAACAAACAAACAAGCTTCCGCTCCGTTCACTTTCCAAACCTCATCTTGAGTCTCTCAGCCAGCGGTCGAGGACTGTCCGGCGAAGCGTCCTCATGATGCACCTGGATGAGTATGGCAGCGTGAGACTCTCTCTCTGGTGCTTCAGCAGCTTTAACGCTCGTCTGCTGGCTCTCGGCTGATTTCTGCGTCCGGAGCGGGACCCTGGCTCTGTTTCTGGGCTCGTGTGATCCGGGTCGGTTCTCTGCGTCGCTGTCGTCACTGACGGCTCTCGTCTTACACACGCTCTTGCAGTTCTCAGAAGGGTTTCTGCGTCCCGAGACGCTCTTCAGAGGCCTGAGAGGGCTTCTGGTTTTAACGGTGGGATCTGTACTTGTTTTGGTCTTGCGAGCATTAGCTGGGATTGAACGGCAGCCGTCTTCTTCCGATTCTGGACTCTTCAGCTGCTGTTTCTGGGTGTGTTTCATGATTATTCGCTCTTTAAGAGAACAGGTTGTGTCTTCCGCAGGTCTCAGGTCAGTTCTGTCGCTCTGAGGCTTCTGGGACGGCGAGGCGGTGAACGACGAAGAGTCCCAGTCTATACTGCTGAGATGCAGCTGGCCAATCAGAGCCGACTCTGACAGGGAATTCTGGGAAGGAGGAGGCTGTGGAGGATTCTGGGTAGATCCAGAGTCTGGATCCGCGTCCGTCTGCAGAGACATCTGAGCAAAGAGATCCGACACGGCATCATGGGAATCGGCCGGCTTCTCTTTCCTCGCTTTCGGCTTCCTTTCTGCAACGATTGAGACACAAATAATAATTTAAAAAATGAAAATAAAATATTAAATATATTATATAAAAATGTAAAAACATAAAATACAATTCTACTCAGAAGAACAATTTTGTATACACAACTCTTCTAAAGTGTACTTGTGATCAAATAAAGCAATAAGCCCCGTGAAGGCGTGGTTTACAGTGAATTTATAACAGCTAAGGGGCGTTGTTACGCAAAGCAGAGTGCCTAAAACCCTCTTAGCTGTTATAAATTCACTGTAAAGCACAGCTTCACGGGGCTTATTGCTTTTATAAAATGGTTATTCCATATATGTAGTAAGGTTTCACAAAATAAAACAGAGCAAATAAAGTGTAATGATATTAATAAAAACAGTATTCTTCCACCAAGCAATGTAGCTCCTCAGAAACAGTTGTGGTTGCTACAAAGTGGTTGCCTAGCAACAGACAAACGTAAACAAAGGTGTGTGTTACTTTGTAGAGTCATTTACAACAGCTTCGAACGCGGCTCAGCCAATCAGAATCAAGCACCGGAACTATCTGTTTTATAATTGTAAAAGTTATTCTAGGGCCATCTTATAAAATAAGTCCTTCAAAGTTTGTCCTAATACAAATATTCATCTCATGACATTAAAAACGTGTTTTACAGATAACTTAGAGCTACAATGCTGACATTTTAGTGGTTCTTCACCCTTCAATAAACACATTGGAAAATGTAAATTCAGCATGAAATCAAAGCTGACAATATTGATATTTTAAAGAATATTGTGGTGTTGATTATAAATGATTTATCTGCGCACATATGTTCCTTCATAAAACTTGCATTCAGAACTCTTTCCATTTATTTTTTTGCATCGCCCACGTTATACAATCTCATTAATATCCGGAGGAAAAAAGTACCGGCTCACAGTTTATTCGTGTTTGATAAATTGTTTCATTTGGATATAGAAAATTAGGTCGCAGTTTTCGTTTTATGTTGACTTCAAACACAAATTTTATTTGGTGGCATTAACACAGAAAATCATTACTAGTCCCTTGTCTTTTAAATGTTTATTTTTTAACATTTACTTGCATTGTAAGTGCATTACAATAATCACATTTTTGCCACAACTGTCAACCAGTGTTATTTTAGTATCATTAATATACTATTATAGTATTTATTAATATTTTGAATTATTTGTATTTGTATGCATTCTATTTACTTTTGAAATTACATTTTTTTAGTCTTTTTTTTTTTATCAGCGTCTGTCCTTCACCGGCTCACCTGCTCTGAATGAATGAATGAATGAATGATGCACGTACTCTTGGTGTTGTTCTCCTGAGCGCCGGCTCGCTCCCGCTGGAAGTCCTGCACGATCCCGGGAAACGCCAGGCTGAAGAGAGACTCCTCCTCCAGCGTGTGCACCTCCGTCTGCTCCTCGCGGCCCTCAGCGAACACATAGTGATCTGACACGCCACACAATCAGCACTCAAACATGAGCTGAAACCAACACCACCATCATCTCACTGCTGAACCAGTGACGCTTCACTTCGCTTCATATATCTGCCTCAAACTGATCAAATTAATCATTTAAATGATTCCACTCACTAAATGTCTCTTAATGGACAGACTGCACGCTTTACTCGACACTGAAAAAGTGCTGAATTTAACGTAAAATATTTAAGAGCGAAAATCGTACATTCTCTATAGACAAAGAAAGTTTGACAAATATTTCACTCATTTCTATGAGCGTTCCAGGCCTTGAAACATAACATTCCTTGATTTCTTTGAAGGCCTGTTATTATATGATGCCGCTTTAAAGCTGAAGCGAGAGTAAAAGCCGTGTAAAGCGCTGTAATAAAGGTTTTACGGCTGTGTGAGTGTGGATCGGCGAGGCTCACAGTGTCTACAGGAAGCTCTTTTAGCACCTGAGAGTGACACATGTGTTCTGTCACCTGTGACCCCTGACCCCTGCTGATCCCAGCTCACAACAACACACTAACAAGCTGTCACTCATCCACACAACACAGAAGAACTCAACCGTATCTGCTGATGCATTAAAAGATTGTCACCTGGTTTCTTCCAGACGACCTCGAAGCAGGAGACGCCGCTCCTAACACGCCGTTTATATATTCTGTTCGGAGGAGACATAAACATTTTCACAGAAAAAGAGCATTTTAGCCTAGAAAATATTTAAGAACGAAAATATATATTCACTATAGACAAAGTAAAACGGAACACAAGATATAAACATATTAACAGAAAAAAAGATGTAAAACATTTCATTAAAATAAAATAAAAAATGCAGATAAAAATATATTATATTAAATATTCTATTCTATTCTATTCTATATACACACACTGCCATTCAAAAGTTTGGGATCAATAAGATAGCCTAAAAAAAAAGCCTTTTATGCTCATCAAGGATGCATTTGTTTGATCAAAAATACATAAAAAACGTAAAAATTTTGAAATATTATTTTAATCTAAAATAACTCTTTTCTGTGTGAATATCTGTTAAACTGTAATGTATTTCTGTGATGCTAATATGCTGATTTGCTGCTCAAGAAACATTTCTGATTATATTTTTGTGGAAGCCGTCATACATTTTATTTTTCAGGATTCACAGATGAATAGAAAGTTCAAAAGAACAGCATTTATTTAAAATAGAAATCTTTTCTAACATTATAAATGTCTTTACTGTCACATCTTTGATAAATACAAAAAGCACAAAATTCTTTAAAAAGAAGAAAGAAAAACAATTACAGACCCCAAACTTTTGAACAGTAGTGTATACAGTTA